GCATTTCTAGGACTTAAGTAGTTCTTCGAATTTCAGCAAAGCATCATGAGCCAAAAGCGATTTTTCAAATTCCTTTTCAAGTCGTTTCATTTCTTCTTTGTATTCTTTAGATTTGATCCAATTGCATTCCCACATTTATATTATATTATAGCCAGCTTTTTTGAATTACTCACGTCTTTCTATTGTTTGTTCATAAAGATCTTTCATAGTTGTTTTATTTTTAGTTTTTTATTATTAATAAAATCTTTATTGCAACAGCTAAAACGTCCATGCATTGTGATATATCTGAAAGGATCTGTATTAGCTATTTCTAGAACCTGTTTTCTTAATTCAAGACATCCTCTTCTTAATACATCCACATCAGAATTACAATAATCATAAAGTTCTTTTTTAAAATCAAAGAAATAATCTTCTTTTCTTTTTTTATGGCATTCTAAAAAATGATTGCAACAGCCATCAACTCTGTATGCCTCAGTTTTATGACTATTACCATAATCATATATTTTACATTCTTTCATATGGTTACGAAATAAACCCATAGGCCGCCCCGGTACGGTGACGTCGGCCGGAGAAGAGCCTGGAAGCGGAAGTAGCGAATGGGTGCTCCAGACAAGTCTAGAAGCGGTGACGGAGGCGTTTCGACAAGGACCGCGTGGCTCTTTAAATGGGACCCATCGTCGGGACCAGGAGAGTTATGTCCAGACAATGGGAGAAGTCCATTATTTTGTATATAATCGCTGTGTAATAAGTCGTGTAATTCGAGTTCCTAAGAAATAAATTGTTGAGTTTTACCCACGCCGATTTTAATTACCGATTAACGTATATAGTTAACGCCATAGCAGTTTGTAGCAGATATTTTTCCAATATACTTCTGATTTTCCGTGTTATTATAAACATCCTTTTTTAAGTTCTTATAGACCGAATGTTTTAGGGAAGTTTTTTAAAGGTCCTAGAACAAAATATAAATAATTCTTAAATTAATAGATTTTATTTCCATTAACATAATTTTAGATCGATTAGACATGCAGAAATGTTTAAAACCATTTTCTACGCCATATTTTAAAATAGAATAAGAATCATACCCCTTTTTATAATGTGCAAAGCTGTATATCCTTTATGTGCATATCCTAAATGATGTCTATAAAATAAACATTTACAGAAATCTTCGTTAGTCTTAAAAGAATTAACTTTTTTTTTCAAAATCATGAGCTGTAACTAAATTAATTATCAGACATCGGCATCGCGGAAGTAAATTCTTAATAACAATTACTACTTTTTCTAGGTTTTCCTCTGTTAGACCAGTTCTCCTAGATGTTAAAATGATTTAAAAATTAAAAATACTGTTCACCATCACAATTTTCGTGATGATCTTAACCAGATAAACCCTTAACTGAATGAAAAGCCACTGAGGTTGAGACTGCACAGTCGGCCAACCAAATTTATCTCGTAACGCCACGCTGTCGTATTTAATATTTGTCTGATTGATTCCCCATCACTTCGGCTCTGCCTAACTCTGGTCATAATCAAAGAATAAATATGTTTCCTGTGGAAACAGGAGTCCAAAGATCATTGTGATTAACTACTATATTTAATAAGTCTCTTTCTTTGAAATTTGTTTTCTCTTTTACTGTTTTAGTCATATCATTCAATCCCTCTCTAATGACAGCAATTTTTTTTTCATAATTATGTCAAGAATATCGGACTCTGATGATTCTTCTTCATCTTCGTCTTCCACTCTGGGCAGGCCTTGTCTGTCTTTCAATAATATAATTTTATAGTAAATTTTCCATTTTTTGGTGTGCTCAACTTTTGTTTCTATTATTTTAAATTTAGGTTTTTTCAAAAACTATGTAAAATAATCATCTTCAAACATAAAAGGTTCCTCACCAATTATTTCTGCCTTTTTCATTTTTGAATAACCTTTGATTTTCTTATGTTTGGCAATTTTTCTTAGTTCTTTTATCGATTTATTCGAGACGATTTTTGACATGAATTCCTTTAATAATGCTTTTAACCTTGATGATCCGATTTCGTTGAGAAATGTATTTAAATTCTCATTATTTATATTTTCTGAAATTCAATTCACTAGATCTATTTTTTTTTAATATTTTGTTTTATCTTTATGTGTAGTTTTTTAGCAATCGATTTTATTTATACAGCGTGTTATTGAAAGGTACGTATAAAATAAAATCGGCAATTGGTCTCGAAGTATGGGTGCTAAAAGTAAAAAAAGTTCAGGTAAATATGTTCTCCTTTTAGAGAAAAAAATTATTAAAATTTCTGCCCAACTTCGTTGTACGCCTCTGATAAACAGATCATCTCTCGTTTCTATAGCAACATTTAGTCTTGACAAAAGTTTTATTGTTACAGTTGTTAGGATTTACTAAAATAAATTAATTTTACCTATTTATTCTTCAGTAACGTCTAAAAAGGTTGGATAAGGGTTAATTTTCCCCTTATAATTTTGATAACAAAAAATAAGTTTTTCAGACTTCTTAGATTTCGCGAATAACTGTCAATTTTGTTGTACGTACCTTTCAAGAACACCTGTATTGGGTCTATTTAATTTATTAAACCAATCGCCAGCACTGAGCTCTTCTTTTAGAATTAATTTTATAAGATCTGATTTAGTTTTTGAGGTATATTTTGAATAAGTAGTTCTTTAAACTCTGCTTTTTTGCAATTGACTTTAATTTTTACTTCCCGAGCGTAAGCAAAAGAAGTATTGTAATCGAGTCCGTCGGCCGATTCTCTACTTTTACATTTTCTTGATCTTTCATGACCCCTAGAAGACGAAGAAATAGGTCTCTCGTTTCTGTCTGTCTGTCCGTCTGTCCGTCTGTCCGTCTGTCCGTCTGTCTGCCGTCCCGGATTAGACAGTTAATCTCCGAAAATACTGTACCCATTGTTGTGAAATTTTGTACTTATATTAGGAATATCATGTAAATGGTAAAATGCTAACCAAAATTTGTCTAATCATCCCCACTACTAATGCGATGACGTCAATTTAAAATTGAACATAGTAAATGGGTTTTAAGTTGTATAAAATAACATAGTCCTACACATGTAGTTTAAGACTCCGAATTGAGTTTTTACTCGAAACGTCCAGATTTTTGGAAAAAAAATCAAAATTATAAAACAACATTTTGCAATTTAATTTTGAATCTGCTAACCCGAATGTTTTGAAATGTTGCAGATGTTTTAAGGCTATAAAGAGCATCATAAATCTTCACTCAAAATATATTTGCTTATCCCCTCCAAAAAATTGATGACGTCAGCTCGAAAGTTTGCTGAATAAATCTTATCTAAGATGTACAAAATATGATGAGTCTGTTCTTGTGATTTATCATTCCATTCATATTTTTTGGATTTGCATATACAGGGTGACCCAAAAAAATTAATGAATGCATAAATGTATTTTACTGATTTAATCAGGAACTACAGAACCGAATGTTTTGAAGTCTTTATTTTAATATTTTATTTTTTTATTTTTTTTTTATTTTAATAATTACTTTTCCAACAGGCCGAGAGGCCCAATTACAGGAAAAGGGGACATACAAAAACACCCAGAGACAGAGCGGGAATCGAACCCACGACCCAAGGTGTAGTGGGCAGATGCCAAGCCACCTCACCCACCGGGTCCTCAAGTCTTGCAGGTGTTTTAAGGTTATAAAGAGCATAATAAATTTTTAATCAAAATATATTTGGTTATCTTCTCCAAAAAACTGATGACGTCAGCTCAAAAGTTTGCCGAATAACTCCTAGCTAGAATATACAAAATATGATGAGTCTGTACTTGTAATTTATCATTCCATTCATATTTTTTGAATCTGCATATACCGGGTGAGTAAAAAAAAATGAATGCGTAAATTAATTTTTTTGGTTTATTCAGGAACTACAAAACCGAACGCTTTGAAATCTACTGCGAAAAAAAACATAATAGGCAAGTAGTCGTCACGTTTTCGACAGCGAGGGAAGTACTGTGTGAACACTTTAGACCAGTTTTTTTAAATGTAGCTTATGTAGCACAAATTCATTATTTGACGGTAGTGGTAAAAATATTTACCCATATTTGTCCAATTGTGGGACGAGTTTCTTAAAATAATAATAATAATTATAAATAGTACTTGAAAAAATTTGCTGGTTGTTTTTCATGGTAGGAATATTAGGAAACTATTTCAGTATATGTAGCCCAAATTCCTGCTCAGATAAAATATATGTTTGGAATTCATGACAATGGAATCAATATTTTTTGTTTGTTATACATGTCTAACACGTTGGTCTAGTTGTGGTTGAATTGTGGTTATGATTGAATTCAGTTAATAGTTTTCTCGTTCTACATGATTTGCATAATTTTCAATCCATTTATATTTTTTAACTTAATTTTATCAACTCGTGTTATGTACAATTTTTACCCTAAATTTTCAAGTTCATAAAGTTATGTATTTTTGTTTGCGCCAAATGCATTTTTAACAAACTTTTAGGCAGATCACAAGTTAAAACCATTTTTAATAATATTTTAGGAAGTTTTGTATTTGACGAAGATTTTGGAAGGGGGAGAGGGATTTTTTGAGACTTCTTCGTCATTTATTTCAGTTTTTAGGCATTTTTTTCTAAAAATACTTATTTTCCTTGGTCTAAAAGTGACACTGATATCGACATTCGGTAAACACACACACACTGTTATCTTATTTTTATTTTGATCACAATTTTCTGTTTACAGGAGAAATACAAAGCTATAAGGTTAGCTTTTGAGTCACTTAATGAAAACTTAAAAATAAAAACAATTAGTTGCCAGCACTACACATTGTGAATAAATGAAAGCAAAAAGGACAAATCATGACATTAAAATTTATGACAAATAACCATAAGTAGTTATCGAAATTTAGAAAACACGTTTTCAGTTTTTTTGTTATCAATAAGTTATTATTGTTAACGGCAGTGATTAACGTGTGTCTGTAGTGAATTTGAAACTGTACGTCGTAAATGATAAAACACACTACGTCAATAAATAAATTTTATTTCCGAATCATCACTACAAATTCATAGAAAAGTTTAGAACAGTAAAAATGTCAATATGACTATGAACCGGAAAACTCATCTAAAAAACTTAAAAATGTATCACATATAAAAGACATCTAATTTGTCTCACTATGACTAAGTTTTCATCGTTATCAGGAAAGAAGGAGACAAGTTGTTCTTTTAGAAAACAAAGAAAAGTAAAGTAAGAAAGACAACTAAGAAGAAACAGATAAAAAGAATTTAAAATTTAGGCTTTAGGTGTTGTCGAACTCGCGTCGGCAGGAACTGGAGCTACGGTTGGAATTTCAGGGTATTCTAATTTCGCTCCTTCTTCGCATTTGAAGATTGGACAACATCCAGGGAATGGGGCAGTTTTGTTGGTTTTATCTGAAAAAAAAAGTCACCATGAACAAGACTGTAGAACAAGTACGAAAAAATACCTTCGTCGAGTTTGCATTTGGGATTGGCGAGTGGGAGTGGTCCACAGTCTTCGACCAATTCAAGAAGCCTTGGTGGTTTATCTTCGGACACCACGCAAGTAGAGCGACCACAGAAGGGATGCAGCTCCCAGGTTTTGCCAGGTTCTACAGTCGCGCATCTTGTACTAGCGAAGCACATACCCGGGAAGTCTGAAAAAGCGTAACGCAATGCTTAACTTCGTCACGGTAGTTTGTTTAGCTAAGTTTTCTTTTATTTGTGTTAAGTTTCTGCAACCTTAAGTTTTTGTGGTGGTAAAAAATCAAATTCTGTAAATTTCCATAATTGGGTAAGAATTTCAGACAAAAACGTGATTCAGATCAGACCAAAAGTGGTCACGGTAGTGGTTTCTTAAGGTTTGCTAATTGAATAAGGCGAGTTTTTATCCAGCACGTAATTAAAAAGTTTGACCTCCAAACGGCGATCATATCTGCTCAAGACAATGAAAAAATGCAGACGAAATTCCCATGAACTGAGGATACGGATTTAATCTTAATTCACGTTTGAAAAAATTTTAAACCGGATCGCATCCTGTCACTTGGGACGTGCTAATTGTTATTCTGCACACGAAACGATTGCGTCATTTTGCTCATTTATGAAGATCTTTTTCCGTGTGGACGACGAATTTGTATGATGATTAAACGTAGGTAGTTCCGTTTCCTACTCAGTAACCGGGTTTGAATACACGAGCGATTAATCAATATCAATTTTGATTTATTCTTAAATGCATCAATCTTTTCCATTCGTCACGTGAAAGGCCGACTGCATTCGAGTTCAACAACTTTTTTCAACATATAGTCGTTCACCTTTGTTGCAATTCCACCGAATATCCGCTGTGAACCGATCATGGGAAGCGATTGTTGGCAACAAACAAAGCGCAATAAGTGATAAAACAACAATAATTCAGCGGAACTGTAGTCGAATGAAACGACCTACTTAGCAAAAACACGTAAATACAAAAACTCGTCCCATGGAATCATATACCATTTAACACATAATAATCGAGAGTGCACGTTCCATTAACCCATAGGTGTGGTTCATTAAAAACCGGTACCAGAAAAAGCAAAAGTAAAAGTGGTCTAGTTTCAGAACAAGAATCGAAGCGGTTAGAGCTTACAGTCTCAAAAATGAAAAAGCATCACTTTCTTTACCTCGAAGGACGTCAGCTGGAATAAGCCTCTTGAAGGTTTTCGGTCTTTCGGCGTCTTTTTTCTCGTCAGCGGTAAGGGCAACCGCCAAGCAGACAGAGAGCACAAGAAAAACTTTCATTGTTGCTTACAAATGTCAAACAGTGGCCACTCGACTTCAACCCGGTCTTCTTTTTCCAACTGAAGGTGTGGAGCTTTCGGTGCACGATTATATAGGCTTTGGAGCTGGTGGGAGTTCGGTGGTGACGGTACGACTAAATTGCACGATTTTTACACAGTTTCCGTTAAAACGCATAAAAAAAACTTTTACTTTGAGTTTTCAACCCACGGGCTTTGGCACGTCTGTTTTTGGGTTTTTCGGTTATTTTGACTTTTGGCTAGCGAAGATTTGTGGGTGGCAAAGAGACGTCAAAAACCCAAGGTCTCAATGTAGGACAAAAAAATATTCACACTGCAAGTCGAAAGATCATATTTTGGTGGAAGTAAAATCTAGGTCATTATCGTCATTTTGCAACCTTACCTTATGTGCCTAATTATCGCCGTTATTTCCACGACCATTGTTGTGCGCTCCCATGACATTAAAATAAAAACAAAAATCAAAAAGACAGCGGAAGATTTAGAAAGTAATTAAAAAATAAGTGTAGAGGTCGATTAAATGTTTCGATTTTCTATTATAACTTAACAGCAATTAATTATCTGTACTAAAAAAAGTATACAAATAAAAGAGTCCTTGCTATCCTTGGAACTGTCTTAACCTGTAAAAGCGGTCTAAAATTTATCATCCACAAATGCCACTAGAAACGATCCGAAATAATTAAAAAAATGTCACTAAGAGACAAAACTCTTCTATGTAAATTTGATTTTGCCATCCTTTCTATTCCTGCAGATAGATAACGTGAGAGTTATTTTTTTCGATCGAGAAAGTAAATTATCTTTTTTATTACAAAAACAAAATAAAAATGCTAAGAAAACGCCAAATTGATCGACTATAATAATAATTAGAATTGCAAAAATGATTAACTTGTTTGTAATTGTAAAGATGACAACAAAACATTGAACTCGTTCATCAGCGCATAACACTTAACGCAGTTAGTAATTGTGTTAATTACCTAAATCTGGGAATTTTTGCAATATTAAAACTTAAAATATTTACACCACTTATCCTTGAAAATAACATAAATATTAATCCAAAATAATACTTTTCCAACAACTAAACATTATTATAACGCTCGTTTTACAGTCTGCAACATTGTTAAATTCGAAAAACTGTTTAAAGTGGAAAAACTGAAATCAGCATTTTCTTGTGTCGGCTTGCAACACCTAGTGCTTTCTAAGCGAATTACAAGAAACAAATTAGGCCACTGTTTGAAAATCCATTTAAAGTACAATCAACAAAATGTTGACGTAAACACGCAGTCTTACAATGACTAACTTTGTTTAATATCGATTCGCCTGATGGGGTGATGCCGTAGTAATTTTCTCATTATCTTGCAGAATCATTCCGAGAAATAATAGACGGACTATTCCAAGATCTCATTTAATAAAATTTGCTATGCAAGTCGAAGAATTAACATTTATAAGATACATAATTCATTGGCTGCACCCATTCCACCCTTCCTATACTCGTTTTGATGTGTATTAATTAGAACAAGTAGTTTAATTGTCATCTGACCTTGACAATTGGTTTTTTGTTGTAAACTGGGTAGAAATTTCGAAAAAATTCATTAAAATCTGGCAACACCCACAATATGCAGAGCAGCACGAGAATAATAAAGGAAGTGGTTACTGGTAATTCGGATCACCTTGATCGTGTCTGCTTGTTTTTTGCTTAAATTGTTACAGCAGCTGCAAGAGAGAAACTTGATGGAAGAATAAATTTTCAACAATGTCAAGTCTGGAACGTAATGTGAAAGTGTTTATGTGCGTATCAAACAATGATTTAGACGTATTTGCAAATTTTGATACATGTGGGTGGTTCGGTTGAAAGTTGAAATCGTGGGGATTTTTTTGTCTGGTTTGATCGTTGTCTGTTTCTTTTAAGAAACTGGGACACCGGTGCAAGATTGCAGAAAGAAACAAGAGTGCGGTGACTCATCGATAGTTCTTTCCAATTTCGAAATCCATTATTATTTCCACTAATTTGCTTAATTTAGTGCCAGCTGCAGTTGAAGACTCCGTAATTACTAATTATGTTATGAATACATTTACGACCACAAATTGTTAGTGATAGATAACTAAAAAAAAGAAAATAAATTATGTTGAGTCAATTATTTTTTGGCTGGCGTGAAAAGAAGATCTAGGTTAATTTTCACGCTCGTTAGAAAAGAGGAAATCTGCTGGTTACACACGACTTGTTTCCACTTATTACTACAATACCAAAATTTTTAATCAGCACAGAAGTGTGAAAACAATCAAATTTTCTTGCGATAACACGCTTCTCATGCGCCTTTCGTCATTTTCTTAAATATCCACCATAACAAATAATAATTAACGTTGTAATTTTCATCAGTACGGAAATACGCTTTCTAAGCGTCATGGCAATGAAAATTGTCGTCGACTTAAGAATTTATCACGGCTGCTGAATATACTAATAGGTCTTTATTGCATTGATTGCGTTATGATGAAAAACAATTTCCTTTTAAATTTAATTATTTTTTGATTGTTTACAAAATTGGTGAAAATGTCAGGGTCGAAGTTCACAACTGAAACGTACTCTTACAATGAAACGACTGAGTTTACGGTACACCTATTTATGGCTCTTAATTACGGAAGCAAGGGTTTTGTCACTCTTGACTTCCTGTCAAAACTTGGCTAACGGTGTTATCTGTCAACCTGTGGTAACAAAAGGACAAAATGACGAAACTAGTTTAAAATTAGTTACAGGTATTACTAAAAGAAATTTAAATTAAATTTTAATAAGAAAACATATTTTCCATTTCCAGCAATTAAATGATTGACGTGATTATTTCACGACACGCGAGGATCCACACAGTCAGCAATTTTAGTGAAAAAATATTATTTAACACTGAATTAGTAATAAATATAATAATTTGACAGAATATTTTGTAACTTTGGTAGATCACTTTCTTCTTTAATGAAAGTGGTGTCTTCAGCGTACAATATGAGTTCACCATGAATCATAATGCTTTCACTGTCATTGATATAAATTAGACAAAATTTAGGACCGAAATTCATCCTTGCAGAACGCCAAAATATAAGTGAAGGTAGGTGGATATTATTTTCTAGGGTTACTAATTGGCTTCAATGTGAAACAAGGTACTGTCTGTAATCCTACATGGTAGCATGGTCGAAGGTTATTTCGATAGAATTTCCCTCACCCCTGAAGTACAATAAAACATCCAGCTTTTTCGAAAAAATACAAGAAAAAACAAGAAAAATTTGAAAGTTGAGTTAAAGTACGATGTGTTATGCACTTAATACATTTTAAGTCTAATCCGTGCACATCACGTGTAGATGAGTTATTTAAATCGCTGATTATGTCACGGACTTCTTTAAACGATAATTCAGTGAAAGCAAACAAATTTTTTGTAGACAAAAATTAAAACTGAAAGGAAGCGGCAGGTGACTTTTAGTTAGCGTAGGAGATAAGTATATTAACAAAATAAGTATTAAATTCTTCAGTCGGCAGAGTCTCATGATAAACAATATTTTTAGTGTTTAAATGTTGTCACTTATTTTTTAATTCTTTAACTCATGACTGCATCAGTTTGTATTGAAGTCTCTGCTAATATATAATTACGAAATTAAGTTACAATAATAATTGTATTAAAACAGTCCGATTCAACTTCACATATGTAATTTAATGTGTTTTTGTACAGATAGAAATATATCACTTTTGCTTACAAAAAAAAAATGGTTGAGGGTTATTTCGACAGAACTTTCCTCGTCCCTGAAGTACAATAAAACATATTCAAATTTTTCGAAAATTGATAAAATTTGATTTTGCAGATTTTATATTTTATCATATCAATGTAAAACAGCTTTGTTATAGTTATTTTTAAAAAAGTACAATATTCCATTTCTATATCGAAAGACGCCATTAACATCGGATGGAACGCCAGGAAATAGTTCATCAATAAGTATTATCATAAAATGTAAGAATACGTTCAGAATATGTGTTGAAGATGGTTTGAATTTTTAAGATGTCAATTGCAAAAACACCTCGAAAATTCAGTGAACTCTTCTCATTTTCCATTATGTCAGCTATTTCCAAATTACTTAACCTATTTTTCCTATCAATTTTATTCCTTCTCCATTACGACTTCGGCTTTTTCGAAGTCCTTTTTTTACTCATTTTTATGCTATCCCCAAAAGTTTTTTCGTTGTAACTTAGTACCTACATAACCAGCTGCACCTAATTACAATACTTTAGTTGCAGTTATTTCTGCTGGAATTAAAGCAGGTAAAAATCCACCTATCTGCACTGGAAAAAAAATGGTATCACTATATTTTTTCTTCTCTTTTTTACATTTTTTAGTTTCATCAGTCTGTTTTTCCCTCAATTTAATAGTTTTATTGGGCCTTTCTATTAAATCTAATCTTTTATTACGATCTATTACAACTTTCGAGTTCCTTTATTTGATTAGGTGAACTTTTGGTGAACTTTGCTGGTCATTTATTTAATGAAAAACTCTATTTCATTTAGAAGAACATTTTTTCATCTTAAATATTCATATTTGCAATTCGTTGAAATTCAACTACAGCATATATACCGGGTGTCCCAGCCTACCTGTTCCACACAAATATCTCAGTGATTTTAAAACACAAAAAATTGAATTTTCTCATGTTCAGTATATGTAATACAGTCTGTAAAATTAATAGATTAGTGTCGTCGTAATAATTTCAGTTTCACCGGAAATGAAATCAATTTTCCTTTTTTTAATACAAAGGGGTATAATTTTTCGATCCATTAAAGAGTGCTAAGTCACATGATACGCTGTTATTTACTTGAATGTTTTAAAGGCCCTTAAAATACAAAAAAAAAAGAAATTTAAAACGATCATATCCAACTAAGCATTTTAATAAAATCAAAGTTTAAAGCAAAATAAAACTATACAAAAACAATAACTTTCAATTAAATGTTCACATCCACAACTAAACAGCGTTTTGCTCGATGAAGTAGACCCCTACTTCTTACAACTACATTTCTGGGTTAATTCTATCACATTC